CCCCCCCCAACCCCCTTCCCCTCTACAAACTTATCTGCAGGGCTCTGTTCTCCACGCTGCCTGGTTGCATTCCTATCCATATGCATGCGTGTGGTTGCATGCATGCACGCAGTGTCCAGGGGCCCTGGCCAGAAGGTGCATTATATTTATCGGTGACATCATTGGCTACACCGGCCAAAAAAAGCCGATAATCTTAATTTTCCTCTTATAGGTGCCGATCCAATATGGCACCCATACATTGGTGCACCTTTAGTGATAGATGAGAGAGAAACTGCTGTGGAGCAGTTTTCATTTATTGTGGGAGCAAGAGCACGCGCTAGTTACTCCATCATGGCCTGATCCGCAGTAAATCCCTGGTGGGTAACTGACTTTGTCTGACCATACACTTAGGAAGGTTTTTAAAAAAAAATGCTTTACCAATGCTAAACAACTTGGTCAAGGTCGATAGCATAATTAATGGTAGCAGGGTTTGGTTAGAAGAGAAAGGGATACAGCCAAATTACAGGAAACATCAAAGTTTGCTATCAAGTAAAATTTAGACTAAGGAATTGTAGAAGAGACTGCTTAAGAAGATGAAGAAGTAATAAAACATTTTGCCAATCTACACTTCTCGCAGCAATTCTTATTAAGTAACTTTAAAAAAAATCTAGTTAAATTGTATTAATTGGGAGAAGTTAGGGTTGAAATAAGATTAACCTGTATTCCTTATGGGATGTGTTTTATAACCAAGATGAATAGGGTGCTGAAGTCCTCTGGTGAAGGTGAAAATGTAACTGTCCTGATTTCAGTTGTTAATTCAGTAAAATGTAATTGCTTTTTAATATCTTAACAGTAATGAATGCAGGGATGAGAAAATATTTTCTACAAGCCAATGATCAACAAGACCTGGTAGAATGGGTAAATATTCTGAACAAAGCTACCAAAATCACAGTAAGTAGTTTTGTGTTTTCCACATTTTGAGGGGAAAAAAATTTAGACATTGAAATTGAATTCAATTTAAATTGAAAGTTACTCAGCCTCAGTATTTACATTTGCTTTTGTGCCCCATTTTTATTTTTACAGTCACGTTTTCTATTTTTTTTTACTTGTTTCTCTTGCCTAATTGATAGGACCCACACAAACAGAAAAAGCTGACCAAGCCAGGTTAATCTTCCAGGTGCAGAAGTTGTCTTGTAACAGTATATGTATTGTTGCTTTATTTTGATAATTTGAAAGAATTTGGTGTCTTGCATGACTTGTTTGTATAAACATTTTTTACATATAACTTTAACAGTTCTGAATTTGTTCATTACTTCATTACTATTTTGAGGGACTAAATAGTGATATATTTTAAAGGTGTTTATCTTCAGATATATTTTTAAGGCATTCTGTGCCATTTCATAAAAACATGCAATGAAAAGTTACTTCAACAAATAAGTTGTTCTCTTGTAAGGTAAATTACATTTCTATATTGTATCAGAACAAGCTGTGACTGCACAACAGAAAACCCCCACGTGTTATGTCTGATTGCGTCATGAATTTTATTTTTTTATTTCTGGCAGTTTAGGGAAGAAACATAATGGGTTGATTAGGAATGTGAAGACTGCATATGTTTGTACTCCTGCTACAGTTTTGTAATTTACATCTCTATATTTTACCTTGAGATGTGAGATTTCCAGGTGTAGTTGGACTACCTCATTGTTTAGACTCTGTAAATAAGTTTATATGGAGAGAAATGTCAACAAATCAAAAGAGTTATAGAATAAATAAAGAATAAACTGGCAAGGTTGGATTGTGTAGAACATTGGCTCCCAGCCTTTCCACCCAGATGGTTAGAAATGGCACAGGATCTGTCCACAGGCTGGATTTAGCCCATCGGCCAAATCTGGTGCACCCCAGAGCTGGAGCTTGGTCCCAGCCTCATGTGCCAGATCAGGCCCTAGCCACGTGTGAGCAGGATTGGGCCTGTGACACTGGGTCTGACAGCATGCACACCAGATTGGACCCCCAACTCCAGCCTTGCACACCAGATCAGGCTGTGGGGCTTGGAAGTTTTGTGGCAGGGGAAAAGTGGCAGCGTAAAATGCCACAACTCCCTCACTACCAAATTTCCAGGCCTCTGTGAAGTCTTCTAAGCTACATCATCTGACTCTGTGGGCTGAGTATCTCTGCTGTAGAAAATGCTGTGACGGTACAAGCAAAGACATTATTCTGACTATTGAGAGGGTGTAGAGGGGAGCAATGAGCAGATTTGACCTCTTTAAAGAAAAACATGGCATAGTGCTTTTATATACATTCACTTTTTCTGTCCTTAGTTCTTTTCATGTCACTTAAATGACTTTTTATTGTTTGCCAAATGACAACATTTTAGTTGCACACTTTCCATTGGAGGCAGTGTGAACTGTCTGCAACATTTTGAGTCTGAGCTCATTAGTTCTGCAGACTGCTTTAAACTGTTTTGTTCATGAAACCTAGACTAGGAGCACTGAGGATGTATTTATTACCTGCTATTTTACATAAAGTACCCCTTTTTGTTGGGAGCTGGAGAGAGGAGTTTGATAAGAGCTGGCAGCTCACTGTCTGTAGCTGAAAAGATCCATTAACAATTCACAACAGCAGAGGATATGTCTGAAACAAAGGGCCTGGATTATATGAGCAGGTACGGTACATATGTAATGCCATATAGCTCAAAATATTTTCCATTGAAGTCTCTAGGAAAATGTTTGACTTGCTCCATGGCATTTTCATGTGTTGATTTCCCAAATACAAACAAAATAGCAGCACTAGAAGAGCCAAAGGGAAAAAGCTAAGATTACACAGGCTCAATATTGTTATTAAAGACAACTAAATATGCTGTTTTCTTTTAATGATACTAAACTCCAAAATATGTGAGTTTGAATGTTGTTAATGGTATAGAATCCAGTTTATCTAGCACTGTAAGAGCTTTGACTAATCTTCACCGCCAGTCTTTAATACAAAGATTAGATTATAATCTTTGCATTATATGGCATAATTACTTCGTATTTAATCCTCATTTTATAGCACTGTTAAACCTCAGATGAGTCCTTCTGATTTCAAGTAGTAATCTTCAACGGCAAACTGGATTGCTTTCTTGTTGTTTGTGTCGTATAGTATGATTTAGAAGTACAGCTATCAGAAGAATTAGTACTGATCCAGTGATTAGCTCAACTGTACTTTCTGCATTCAGACAGCTGGGCCAATATTTTGCCATATAGTTCTTAGTAATTTAAATTCTATTTTGATAGACTATTTTTGGTACCCAAACATCAAAGCCACTTGGAAGAAGGAGTTGCTTTTCCCATTGTGCTTATAGAAGTTGTCATAATTGAGCCTGCCCTTAGATTAAGGAAGATACTTTCTGCACAAAAGAACATGAAGGAAGCTGCTCCCACACTGGCCACATTTTTAGATCAATCCTTTGATTTTTTTTTTTTTTTTTTTTTAAGACTTTCTGCCTTTCCAAAGAAATAAGTGTTCTGACCCTTGTTCTGTGTTCTGGTTTATTTAGGAGAATAGTTGGTACAATTCCTAAATATCTTACCATTAGGATCTAGAGTTATTGGCTTCCTACTTCTGGAAGGACTGCCTTTATTCAATTTTCAGATTTGATACTTAAGGACAAGCAGGCCTTATAAATAATGGTGTCCTATTTGTATTTGCCTTTAATTGAAGTAAATCATGAAGTTTTATCCTAGATACGTTGAATTGGAATAGAGGTGGGAAGGTCTTTTGGGATGATTCAGATATTTTCCTAGTAAATGCTAGCATGCTCCTTTAAACAGTTAAATATTAAATGGACCTGAGAGAGAAATGGTGAGCATGACTATTGGTTAGGGAACACCATAGGTTCAGGAGTGAGTGGGACTTGTAATGCAGTAGTTAAGGAGCACGATTGGTTTCAATCTCTGCTTAGATAAAGCTTTTTAAAATCATTTCTTGGAACAGGCCTGGAACTCAGGACTTTTCTCTAGTTTGAGCGTAGGTTCTGAAGATCCTGATTCTGAGCATCAGTGTCTACTGGGGCACCCAGTCCCTTTATATAAAGATTTTTTAAAATTAATTAAACTCACATTAAGTTAATATAGACATGACCATTTCCAGATGTAGCTTCATTTACAACATTGACTGCTTTTAAATACCTGTCCTATATGAGAAGTAGTACTTGAGTACCCTTAATGGAGGTTAGTAGTGACTGACAGAAAACATGTTTTCTGTACTGCATCTATATTAAACACAGTTTCACAAGTCTCTTCAGAGACACAATTGTATAGAAGCAGGACTAAAATGCTTACTATTTGTGTTATAGTAATAAGATTTACTATATTCTCACAAGAACGTTGCTACCTATTTCTACAATGTTGAGTTTGTTTTACACACTTAAAAGTTATTCCTTAGTTATTCCACTCGGCACTTGCAGATTAATTTGAAAAGTATTAGAACTCCCATTTTTTTTCTTTGGTGGTGTTATGGTAAAGTGATCTGCTTCAGCAGCACTCAGAGCATATGAAACGGTAAGTATGGTTATTCAGTAGAATCTTGTGTTCTTTCCGTGTAGCTCACACATGACATTTTACTAAAGGAGGGGGAAAAGGAAAAATCATGCTGTTTTTTCCTATAGGGTTAACCATTGTCCATTAATTTCTTTACTCGGTGTGATACAATATCCAGTAACTAGCATAAGTTGCTTACAGTTCCTCAAACCCCTGAAACTGCAGCAGAATAGTAGCTCGGGTATTATATTAAGTAACAGAATGTGAGATGACTTTGTATTACCTAAAATACCCCAATTTAATGAACATTTACCATTGCACTTTTTAGCAGAGGAGAGTTTGCACTGATTTAAAACCCTGTAAGTTTTGGTAGCTTTGCAGTGGTTATATAGACATGACAGTCCAGGAATGATCCAAGAAGCGAGGATTTTTGTGGGTGATAGCTTTTATCAGACCAGCTGCATGGTTGGGATTAAAGTTAGGCAAGTTTTTGAATGCAAAACATTCTTCATCAAGTCTAAGGGAAGAGACCTCAGATCTGATGAAGAAAGCCTTGCATTCAAAAACTTGCCTGACTTTAATCCCATCCCAACCATGCAGCTGGTCCAAAAAAAGATTGCAACCCTGTGTGCTATCATTCTGTAGAGAAATTTTGAACAGCTATTTGTGTCTATTTGGATATAGGTGGTTTTAATTGTGATTATCCTATAGTACATACTCCAAACTTCATTTCTTGTCACAAGTGACAACATTTTTACCAAGCAGCAGGTGTCAGGTGTTGACTATTTTGTCAGGTGTCTATATCATATCCTTGAGTTTGTGGCCCCATTTACTCTAGAGACCTGTAGAGTCCTTGCTACCAAAGAGCTTTGTGACTAAAATATGTGAAATTGAAAAAAGAAAGAAAGAAAAAGAAAACTCTATTTTACACAGGAAGAAGGGTCACAGAGAAACTGGTGTGCCAAAGATTAGGCAGGAAGCTTGCGGCAGACGTGAATGGAAACCAGTTTTCAAGTCAGTCTAGTACTTTAACCAGATATTTTTAGTTTTTGAAAAAAGCTAATATATAACCAGTGGTTTGTTAAATTATTATTAATTCTTTACATTAGAAGCCAGTTTTTGAGGTCCCAGGGGGATATAACTTGTGAATATTTGAGTAATAATTGAGGATTCTTAGAAATTTCACCTTTTTTATTAAGAATTGACAGACTTGCATAGAACTTTCCAATCTATTCATCACATCTAACTTTTCAGGTACCAAAGCAGTCTGATTCACTGTGTCAGTCTGATAACCCAAATCGCCAAATTGAAAGTCCAGCTGGAAAGAAGCAAGTGTCTTATAGAACAGAAATTGTTGGTGGTGTTCCTATCATTACCCCTACACAGGTACTAACTATTTAATAAATACCATTTAAAAAGTAATTAGAAGTGATTTGTGGCATGTGTTAGCTGTCAGAATGCCAACTTGTCCATCCCCATCCTTATTCAGAGGACTCATTGTATTTAATTTCATAAGCTGGGTTTTTAATATTGCTGTTTTTTAATATTGTATACTTAGTAAAAGGACATTCAGTTGTTATAATACATTGCAGCTATGTTATACAAGTTAAATATTGATTTCTGCCTGCTTAAGCTTTTCTGAGGTAGTTGATGATTTAAGTTAAAAGATGTTATATTTTGTAGTAAAAACAAAAACAAAAAAAGGAAAAACACCCACTATCTTCCTTACCTGTCTGAGATTTTATATAAGATGTGCTAGAACTGATATTAAAAATAACTCAGTACAGGTTTCCCTCGATTTTTATGCAGTACACGCATTTCCAGAGAATGGCGCACAAATTGAATTTGCATAAAGCGAACCCACTTTACAATGTAACAAATAGCCTGTAGCAGCTGGGCTGCACTGTGCCGTGGTGCAGGAAGCTCGTGTCAGCTGTTCCTGCGGCTGCTCCAGCATGGGGTGGGGTGAGTGCAGACAAGCGGAACCCCCCTGGGTGGTGTGAGGTGCTACAGGTAGCTGGTGTCAGCTGCTCCGAAGACCGGGGTGAGTGCCACACCCTGCGCCACCCGGGGCTTTGCTTGTCCACACTCACCGGCCCATGCTGGAGCGGCTCTGGGAGCAGCTGACACCAGCTGCCTGCACCAGGGCACAGTGCACCCTGCTGATACAGGCAGCTGGAGTCGGCCACTCCCGGGGCCTCTAGCATGGGCTGGGGTGAGCGGGGACTGGCAGAGTCCTGAGGGGTTCGGGATACAGTGCAACCCAGCTGCTACAGGCAGCTGGTGTTGGCTGCTTCTGGGGCTGGAGTGAGTGCCGCGCCTGGGTCTCCACTTGTCCATACTCACCTCAGCCTGTGCTGGAGCTGCCCTGGGAGCAGTTGACACCAGCTGCCTGCACCAGGGCATGGTGTAGTCTAGGAGCAGAGGTGAGTATGGACAAGCGGAGCCCAGGCGCGAGGTGGGGGACAGGGAAGCACAGTGCTGCCCAGCAGGTGCAGGCGGCTGGCGCCGGCCACTCCCGGGGGCGCTGCAGCCGGGGCTGGGATAAGTGAGGCCGTGGCTCTTTCTCCTCCCCCCACAGCCGTAGCTGCTTGGGCAGGGGGGGCGTCTATACTGATCTCATTAGAGTGAATTTACCTTGCATATAATGAATTATGGGTCTAAATATGCTCATCACATAAGAGTGAATTCGCTTATGAAGAACCTGCATAAATCGAGGGAAATCTGTACTGGTTAGGTTATCTTGGCATATGTTTACAGTAATTCTCCTGATCTTGAAACAGTCTTCTGTGTTTACCTACTTTCAACTACTTCCCCAGTGTGTTTTCTCCCACCCCCTCCCCCAACCCCAGGCACTTAGAAGGAGCAGATAATAGTTTGTAATATTTTAACTTTGGCTGCATAGTGTACCATCTCTAAAGGTCATAGCATATATGCACTTTTTAAAAAAAGCAGCAATGATTTTGTTTCTGAAGCCTTCAGTGTGTTGCAGTTTTACTTGTCTATTTTTTTGTTTTAGTAGTTCTACCTTAATGGGTTCACAGTCTGTTTCAACTGTGTGCTTTTGAGCAGTGCTTATGACTTGCCAGGAAGTTTTGTATATGGTTGTCATACCAGTGTTATTTTCAGTGTCAAGTATTTGATCCTTCTAACCAAGCCAAAGATAGGATTTGTGGGTAGGAGGTGACATTTAGGAAAGTGCATATACTTTTATTTTGTGTTCTTGTATTACTAAATAATCATCTTTCAGGCTTTAGAGAAACGTGAATATCCTGAACTTTTTTCCGCTTCCTTTCAGAAAGAAGAACTAAATGACTGTGGTGAAGGAGGTGACAGGAACTACTTGAAACGATCACAAAGCCACCTTCCTTACTTTACTGCTAAGCATCCCTCAGATAATGCTGTTATCAAAGCTGGCTACTGTGTTAAACAAGGAGCAGTGGTAATTAATTGTAGAACTATTCATTTCCTTTGTCCAGAACACATCCTGAAATTGTAAATTCAATTACCAAATAGATGCTAACCAAGCAACAGTTTTACTAAATGGTACTGTATTAAAATATTGAGCATAAGTAAAACTAGAATGTTATTTCATAGATTATTCTCCTGTAGTATGTGTCTGATCTCTGTATCGCCAGTCTTCTGCATTTTACTTTGGTATTTCTGCAGGTTTTTTTAACACTAATAAAATTGGAGACATTTTGGAGATGAAAACATTGCTGCAGATGGTTTTAAGATGAAGCTTCAACAGAATACCCCTTAATACATGTTTTAGGAAGCATGTATGGATAACTTCTTAAAGAAGGGTGTGCTAAAAATATCTGTGCTGAACCAAATGCTCAACACCTGCATGTTTTACAAGGCATTGAAGTAGTGAGGGAGTTTTAATTCATTTTAAGGAGCTGAAGAAAAATTGTGCAACATTTAAGGTACTTGTTAGATTTGTCTTCTGTGAAATATCTAAAATGTTAGGTGTTCCACCATTATCTGGCCAAATTATTCAAGCTTAAATAATTTACACGTGCTGTTTTTGGCCTTGGAAAGCTGCAGATCTTTTTTTTGGGAAGTGTGAAACTCCTTCTTGTTGTATTCCAGATTTTTATTTTAAAAAGATACCTATGAAATGCCATAGAAAAATGCTAAACAGTCATGTCCTTTTAAACAGTGGGACATGTCAGTTATAAGTGCATCTGCAAAATTTACTCTTGTGCGTGCTTTAGAGTAGTCTTTCCATTATACTGTTTTGTAAGCAGGGAGAAAATGGCATAATGTTCAATCAGCTTCTGTGCACCTTGGAGGTTGATACGATTTAATGTATACTGTGTATCTACTACATAAGATGAGTAGTATGCCCTAAGCTGTACTTGTACACTTTGTACTCTACTTATGCATTTATCCAGGATACATATAATTAACTGCATGAAAAGTTGCCAATTCCAACTTGTTGCCTACTGCTTACATTCTAACAAATTCCTGTTAAACACTGCTTGACTGCATTGCATCTTTCTGCTCTACACTCCACTTTGTAACTAATTGTACTTTAACCCACACTCTACTTTGTAATTAATTCTGCTCTAACTGCACAGTGTGAGTGAAGGAGTAGCTACAGGGGTCAGCAAATATTTGTACAGGAGGGCCACTTAGGGCCAGCACCCCCTGGTGGCCTGCAGGAGCTCACCAAAACTCCTTAAGTGGCTCTGACTTGGAGCACAGCCCTGTGCTGTCACCAACTGGTGATTCGGGGGTCTCCATGAAGATGGGGCCAGGACCTGCATGGGCAGGGTGCATTCTGCCGAATGGATGGGATGGGATGGGGCTTTGGGTGGGGAGCAGCATCCAGGAGAGGGACTGGTGGGTAGGGCTGAGGCTGGGATTGGAACTGGGATCACAGTTGCAGGGTGGTGACAACACAGGGCCCATGGCAGAGCCAGTCAGCACGCCTCTCTGCCTGCAGAACTGGCGCTTGTCGCAGGGACACGTAGGTAGCAGATTATGGCTCTGCTCCGGGCTCCAGCCCTGTGCTGTCAGCGCCCCATGATCCTGATGCTGGTCCTGGCCCCAGCCCCACCCATCCTGCTTGCAGATATCGCTCCCCGCTCACCTGCATACCCATCCCATCTGCCTGCTTGAGCATGTCATGCCCGTGCGAGTCCCCGGCCTCTCTTCTTGGAGACCATGCCTGCCTGCTGCATCCAGTGCCCCTGGCGATGGGTGTGGGGCAGGTAGGCTGGAGTGCCTGGGCAGTGGGGCTGGGTCCAGTGGCAGTGGCAGAGATTGGCAGCCACAACTGGAAGGACCTGCTCCTGTGGGGGCTGCTGGTGAAGCAGGTCTAGCTGCTGCTCTGCCCCAGCCCCGCTGAGCACCCTGGGGCAGCAGGACCAGCTACATGTGTGTGGCCTGGGCCAGGCGGGGCTGAGGTACCTGCTACAGGCTGGATAAAATCCCTTGGTGGGCCAGATCCAGCCTGTGGGCTGTATTTTGCACACCCCTGAAACAGAAGTTGTCAAAGAGCAGCTATTGGAAATCTTGAAATTAATAGCAGCTGTGAAACTACCAAGCTCAAATCTCCCTTTCTTTTCATGGCTTTTAATAGTAATGACTATTAAAATAGATTAAAATAAAACTGGTCAGTTTTAGGGCTGCTAATGTTGTATTGTCAATAGTGCTATAGTGCAATTTTTACATTAAGGTTAGATAAGTGCGTACCCTGGATAAGGGTATAGTCTTGATTTAGTTGCATGCCTATGCATTTTAAAGGTAGTAAAGTGCACAGATTCGGTAGTATATTGCGTAAAGTAATTGTATGTATCTGGTATATGGGCTACATGAATTTAAGCTTCAAATATTCTTATTGTGCAATATTACTGGCAAAATTATTGAAGTACGTTATGAGAATATGCTACTTAATAAGTCTGACAGAGTTAAAAATTATTAATAAAATACTGGACACAGTATACTTAAAGCATTAAAAAAAAGTGTGCAACATCTGGAAAATATGAATTGTGACACGTTTTAAGATTGTATAATAAGATGTATATGAACAAGAGACAATATTAAGATTCCATGGTTATTTACTTATGGAATTAATTCTAGATTTAATTATATATTTAAAATGCATTTAAAGGCTGGCATAAGAATTTATGATTCTTCATAAAGGGATTTAAGAGAAATCTTAGCCTTCACTTGCCTGGGACAGAGATGATCAAAAGTGAATCATGAATGGTGGTGGTGACATCTAAATTCAATCTTCTGGAAAGTGAAGGCTACAGTATGACCTCCTTGGATTGAGGAGTACAGTGGCCAAAGTTCTCTATGGTGTGTATAGCACAAATAGTAAGCATTTTAGTCCTGTTTCCATACAGTTGTGTCTCTGAAGAGGCTTGTGAAATTGTCCCAGTGTTGGTTTCTAAACTAGCTTCCATCCTGCTTTAATACTGATGCAGTACAGAAAACATATTTTCTGTCAGTCACCACTAACTTCCATCTTAAATACATTTACCATGATTTTTAACACCAACTATCCTTTTTAAAATAAAATATTAAATTCCCATGCAGTAATGTATATGTACTATTTGAGACTGAGGAGTTTTGGAAAGAAAACATTTAAATATTTGGGACTCAATCTTTTTTTGCAAAAAAAAATGGTGGAGGGGGTGAGGGAGGATTGACAGCTTTGAAGGGGATAACCTTAGTAGCTAATGAAATTTTCCACCTACTGTCCTAGATTCGGCAGAGGCAAAGGGTGAAAATAAACGTCCATGGGATTTCTCTGAAAGCAAACAACAGTGCGTTCCTTTAAACAGAGATGGTGCCAACAAGGAAAGATATGCATTTGGAGGAGAAGTAGTAAAGCTAGGCAGAAAGAGCTAAGTTGGGCAGTAAGAGAAGGGATGGAAAAAAGGAGAACTTTAATGCTAGGTTCTGTGTTCCTACCACCTCCCTCTGGTTTTTGTTTTCCCCCTGCTTCTTTTCCCTTCCCAAAACTTATTAAATTACTACTCTGGCTTCTTAGCTTGATACAGTAATTCAGTTTTTCTCTAAGTTCTACTCTGCTCTTGCAAATCTAATTCTTTCAGCTGTTTCTCCTCTTAGTTGCAATCTTTGGAAAGACCCTCTGCTTGAGGAGATCTCTCAGGATGCTTTCTTTCTGAAGTCTGATCCAGTTTAAGAATAGTTCCTCTCAGGTGGCATATTTTATTTAGTTGGTACTCATCATTTTCAGAGTTGTCAGCCCCAGGTTTCTTTCTAATGGAATATAGCCCCAGTGTCATTCCTCTGTACCCAGGAAGTAGAGTTTTACCTAAAAGAGTCAAAGGAGTAAAACATTCAGTACAAAACATTTTCACACTTCACCAGCTGAAATCTAAAATTGATTACATCTGTCCAGGAGCTTCAAAAATCTTAATCTGAATAGATTGTAGAACCAAGTTTTCAGGAGCTAGACCCCCAAAAATTGACTAACTGGCCCCAAAAGAATTGGATTAGTTCTTTTGCATAAGAAGGTGGGAAGAAAGCAGAGTTGGATATCTTTCAGAGTGGAGTGTAGCATATGTAGTTTAAAAGCAAGTTTAAGGAAGTGTAAGATGCTTTTCTATAGGGAGAGATGGGGTATATCAGGCTAACTAAAGAACCCAGGAACACTAGTAGAAATTGCAAAAAAATAAAAAATAAAAAAATTACCAAATGCAAATGTTTCAACTTCTCTAATTCCTGAAGGAAGATCAAGCAGTTGGTCTAAGTCTTAATATTTCTTTTTCTTTCTTTAATAGATGAAGAACTGGAAGAGGAGGTACTTTCAATTAGATGAAAACGCAATTCGTTATTTCAAATCTGAATTGGTATGTTTCAAAATGTTACGTTGCTTTCAAAATGTATAGAAGTAAATTTCAAAAGCCTGTTTGGGGTTGAACTCTCTCTCTGAGGATGTAAATGCCCTTTGCTGCTTTTGTGATCCTCTGACCAAGGAATCTGCTGCCTTGGAGACTAGTATGTCGTGAAAATTTGATTTTCAGTGAAAAAGAATGAATTTATAAACATACCCCACCATTGTCATTCATTTTAGTCAATCATTTGTGCTTTTCAGGCTTATGTGTGAATTTCATGAAAATTGTCTTAAGGACAGTTGATATTGAAGTATCTCATGTTTAAGCTTCCCTGTGCGGCAACATACTTTTGGTAAATAAAGCTATCCTGTTCCCATTCAAACAATGAAATCGGTTAGTATTGGAGGGGGGTGAGGGGATTGCAAAAGTGTCAGTTTTTTTTGGTCATGCTAATAGCAAATTAGTTTCTTAAGCTAAACAACTTTTTGGTCATTGTTAGTGTAATTGATTCATTGACCAAATGTTTCCTAGAAGGGTAGAGTCTGGCTCCAGGTGTGAAGACCTAAGCAAATAAGAGCAGACTCTGCCTATCACTCTCCCTGCCAGCCTCTCTGCAAGGAGGTAATAAATTAGTTTCTGGAATCGGGTGCTACTCAATTTATAGAAGTGATGAACTGGTACCTTGAGTCTCAAAAGGTTGAAAACCACTGGATTAGATGTTTGATAATTTTGAGGAACCTTTTTTTTTTTTTTTTCTTGAAAGAGATGTGTTTTCACTTTCACAGCCCTTCCAAGGCAGCCAAGCCTCAGTCCTCTTCTTTTTCTCATGGCAGCTGTTAGGTGGCATCATTTGAAAATATAGAACATAAGAACTGCCATTTAGTGGATCAGACCATAGGTCCATCTTGTATCCTGTGTCGCACAGTGGCAGAGTGGATGCTGAAAGGGAGAATGAACTGTGTGAGACCAGGGTGTTTTCCACTGTTCCTCTTCCCCTTGCAGCCTCCAGCATTTAACGTCTAGGAAGTTCTGGTTCAGAATCTGGATCCTTAACTCCCATATTCAATAGCTACCGATATCCATGTCTTCCAAGAATTTTTCCAGTCCCTTTTTATGAGCGTGGCTAAACTGTCAACTTCCGCAACATCTGGTTTCAGTGAGTTCCACATTTTAATTTTGCACCGTGTGAAAAAGAACTTCCTTTTGTTAGTTTTAAACTTACTACCTACTCGTTTCATTTTTGTGACCCTTAGTTCTTGTATTGAGACATTAGTAAATAACAAATCCCTATTTACTTTCTCTTCACCATTTAGTATTTTGTAAACCCCTACCATGTACCCCCCTCAAGCATTTCTTCTAAACTGAATAGGCCTAGCCTCATTTAGTTTTTCCCTCAGTTAACTTTCACATTTATATTTGAGCAGTCTTGCATTCTAAACACCCTTTGTTAGTTTACACAAACAATGTTAACAGGGATGGATGGCCCATATTGCAGGTGTGGCCCTTCTCATTTAGTATCTGACATTCTTCTTTCCTTGCTTCTCCCTGGAAAAGAACTGAATCTTTTCTTCTTTAGGGAAGAAGAAGAGGGGCAAATGAGATTCAGATCTTTCATGCAGGTGTATGAGGCTCTGGTTCTTTGGATCAGACACTCGGATCAGTTTCTAGCTGTTTTACTGATACAGTGGAAAGCTCTATGGAAAGGTGAGGGTATTCAGAGCAAGACAAGTTGAAATTAAAATCTCAACCCCTGCCAGACACTAATGAAAGCAATACAGGTCGTGTAGCAAGTTGAAGCAATCTGTGAAGTACAGCAGGAGAAAATACTTTTCAAGTGGTAACTGGGACAAGTGCAGGGTCAGTAGCTACCCTCCCTTGTTACATCAGTTGTGTCAGAACATCGGCCAGTCCTGTCTGGAGCTGGATTCAGATTGGCATCAAGCTATTTCAATTTTAGAACAAATGGGAATATAGCTTTGGTCAAATGAGGTCACTGGACACTTTCCAGAGGAGGTGCCATGTGGAGTTCTGCAAGAATTATGACTTTTTTGTCCTATTTTCAGTTACAGCAGCTCATGAAAAGGCCATGGCATGAATTAAATCATTCATCATCCACTTCAGATCAGAGAATTATGGCTTGCTCATTCCTCATCCTTGTTGGTAGCTGCAGAATTGGGTATAAACAGCAGGGCCCTCTCTTAAAACATCTGAGTTTTCAAAAGAGGGATGTTTTGAAAGCATGCCCTTACCATCCTCAGAAAAATGTTATGTTCTGCAGATGTCCTGCAGCCTTTTTCATTTTCACAACTCCCAAATTACCATTTGATACTGCATGTATTTCCGGGTCTTGTTACAGGGTCTTGCAGTCTTGTGATAGCAAAAATGTTGGCTTTAAGAGAAGAAAATTTGCTTATTTCTTCTTGAGCCACTTTTCTGATCGGTTTAGGAATGAGGGAAAAGCTAAAGCAAACACAGTGACATGATTGCTGGAGTATATTGGATTCAGAATAAATAGACATTTGTGGTGGGCAGTTGCATACAGGCCTTAGCTAAGACCAAACACTACAAGGCCTCATTTAAAAAAGACTCACAGTTGATGGAGACTATTGCTCCATTGGTTTTGTTTTTTCCCAAATTGAAGCCAAACAGAGAATTCTTATTTAATACACAGGCATACTTTCATGATCTAGAATTCATAACAGTTGTGTCCAGTATTTCATATATCTTTTGTTTTCCTCTCGTCTTCTCTTGTCTGTTGGGAAACGTCAAGGTTCAGTTGCATATTTTCTGAATGGCAGTCAGAGAATACAGCATCCTCCAGTTGGAGAATGATTGTACTTCTCACTGTTATGAAGATTCAAATGTGAAGTGTCTATTGAAATTAGCACAAAGAAGAATAGGAAATGTATCCATGCTACCTTAAAATGTTCTTACTTCAAGTTGTTAGGCAGCTTTGACCCTTCATGGAGACAAATGGGTCATCTAGACTAGGGATAGAAATTGACATCCATGGACTTGAGTTTGTTGTAGTTAAGTAGCTTTAACTGTGCTATGTTGGGGGAGGAAACCATTCTCTTACATTATACATTGTATTACCTGTATTTTAGAGAAAATAGAGTTGGATAATTCTGGGTTTGGAAATTACCTCAGCTGGAAGGATCTTAAGGCCAAGGCATTTTCCAGTTCCCAGTAAATAATGAATCTGTTTCTACCCCCAGGTTGCAAGCAGATTAAAATACTCTATTTTCTGGTAAGGGAAAAGAGAAATTTTGGGGGTAAACATGGGTACACTGGAGGGTAAACATGGATAAACTGTTCCCTACAGCAGCCACAGGGTGGCACATCAAACTGGTAATTGAAAGACCAGTGTTTTGTTTTCATATTGTTTAGGAAATAGGGAGATATATGACATTACTTTTCCTTCTTTGCCAAAAGTGTAACAAACTGAGCTGAATTTACATTACTTAATTCTTCAGTTTTTTTTTTTTATTTTAATATTTTCACTTTTAAGCATGATTTAAAACTTTAGCATTTTTTGTCTTGGTTCTGCCACTGTGAAAGGATGCAGTGATCAACTTTTCTTAGATACTAAAGAATACTTTTATGCTTTGTCAAAGTCTAGAGTTCCACCAATGTCTTTTAAGTATCTCCTTGTTACAGAATGTAGCATGCAATTAACATGAATGTATTGTTAATTATATTAGTGTCTTGCCATTCAGTTAACAAGGGTATTAACAAGTGTATGTTTCTATTATGGTATTGCATTTTAAATGTTTCTCTAGTGACAATTCTGGTTACTATATATCCAGAGATAAGTTGTATTTGGAGGGCCAGATTTATTCATGGTTTATGCATATAGCTTTGTTTTTGTTCCCATTTATGCCAGCAATAATTTTTGACCATTGGACACTTGCTACCTTTTGGTCTTTTTGATGAGTTTGGTGTGGGTATTTGTTTGGTTTTTTTGTTTTGTTGTTTAAGAGATGAGCTCTTCCTTACTTAGGTTTAATGTTTCACAGGAGAACCTAATTTGGAGCATTCTAATTTGTTTATAGTCATTTTGTCTCTTTTTGAAGAGTGAATTGATAAAAGATTTGAAGCATTGGGTTCCTCTGAGCCTTATCCTGTTCACAGTGTCATGCCTAGGTACATAAGAAGTTTTAGGTCATCCGCTTCATTAACAAAACAAGTTCATGTCCTTAGAAGTTTGTGGTGAACTTGATGCTCTTGACTGTGTCAGCTGTAACATAACTGGCTGCCTTGAAAGTAAAACTTTTGCAGCCTTGCTATTGCATATCAGTCCTGACATCAAAATCCTGTTATATAAATAATAGGATTTTGATGTCAGAATTGATATACAAGAGCAGTGCTGCAGAATATTCTTTTTTTCTAGTCATTAAAATAATGATTTACTCAAGTCCTTTTTCTTTGTTGCAGGAAAAAGAACCTCTCCGGCTTATACCACTTAAAGAGGTCCATAAAGTCCAGGAATGTAAACAAAGGTCAGGAAAAGTAAACCTTTGTGCAAAATATTTTAAAGTGTAATTCATGGTGCCTTATTATGGCGATGGTGTAGGAAAAGCCAATAGTCACGTTTGATATATATGTGATTATTAGTCTGTCTAGAGATGAACAGTATTTTTGTGATGATTAGAACCAGTCAGGAGGGCTGGATTCTTAATAGTTCCTAAATGCAAAAATGAAAGTAACACCTTTTTTGTAAAGCATGCTGAGTCTATTAGAGAAAAGGTGTTAAGCAGTATGCTACTTGGTACTTTAGAAGAATGATCTGCTTAAGCAGAGATGCTTTCTTGGTCATTTATTTTTTTACTCATGTTTATGTCAAGTATTGATGACCTTTTTTGGATGCCTACTTAGAAATAAGCTTACTAGGAGTTTTCAAAGTAAAATTAAAGGCACTTTTACACGTGCTCCAATGCATTCTGATTAGAATGTACCAGAGCAGCCTCAATTAATCAAGTCTGCTCTAGCATTTTAATCAACACTCCAGCATGCTGCAGTGCCTCGTGTATTCAGTGTCCCCATGTTTGAAAATGGCTGCAGGCAGGGGCATTTTTTAACTAAAGCTTGTTGAACTAAAGCTTGCCCCACTGCCATTTTGAAACACAGGACACGGAATACATGAGATGTTGCAGGTGTTTTAATTAGAGTGGCTCCTGAGAGCTGCTCTAATTACCCCCCTTCCCCATCCCAGAGCACATATAGGTGCCCTAAGATTCTGAAAATGATGATGTGAAATGACTTAAGTAAGAAAGTAAATTTAAGTGCACTCTCTGTGACTAGGCAACTTTTTTTTGTGATACCTTTTAGTGGGCCAGCTGTATAGCTGGGAGAGAATTTTGACAAGCTTTGGAGCACACGCTGCCCTTTTTTATGTCTGGAGGAGAGGCAGACATGGCTTATGTTTTCTTTTAATGTGCATTCAAACAGCAGATTTATCAGGGAACTGATAAAGATTTATCAGAACATTTCTTGTATCATCAAATCTACAACAATCCCACTACTGTGTAATTAGGCTGTAATTCCTTAATGTAGGTTAATGCTGTCCAGTTTAATAAGAGAGAAGTTCCTTCCCATGCCCATCATGTGAAATCTTGCTAACTGAGGTGACTTTAAAAGTACTGGTAGGAAATTTCCTGTGATGTATTAAATCGGTGAATTCTTTATTGGTATAAACATTATATAGTTCAGTTAAGTGGGTTTATAATATTGTGCTATTTTTTTTAATACAGTATCACAAATATTTTGTCCTTAAGACATCCTCTCTAAACATCACTAAACCAAGCATGTGAACTGATGCATTAAATTTCATCTAAAAGCTCATTTTGTGGGGTTAATTCTCAGATTTCTAGTACGCTAGACTAGGAAGAATTGTGTGGTACAAATTGACAAGAGGAAGTACTGTATTAACAATTTGAAACCAAGATTTTAGAGTGCATTTTTTTTTATATCAGGATACACAATGTTGGGTACAGGTAGCTTCTGCTGAAGTCAGTGAGACTTGATCAGTGCTCTGTGTCTTTAGGACCACAGATGTCTAACTGTAGATTTGGGCAACATTCCTTTTCCCTACTCTTGAAATCATTATCAGGATGTGCTTTAAATAGCAATAAAATTAAGTTGATACTGGTCTGTCCTTTATGCCCTTGCATGAAAGCATGGGGAAGACAGGTTGCATGTAGATTACTGATATTTCTGCTGTTCAAAAGACTGCTTTTGTCTTCATGTAGTCCATGCAGACTAAACAGTGGATTCCATGCCGACCACATTTTGAAATAGTTATTACAGGGAAATTTACTGTTCTATACATCTTGAGGTTGAATTCAAATAAAAATTTGAGAAAAAAATAACTTCATTTGCATTGCACAAGCTATGATAGCTGGTGTGCAGCTGGCCGCTAAAGATTGCAACTCGCTGAAAGTTTAAAAATGTAAATGTGAAGTTTTCGAGTAGTGCATTGCTATCTAAGTGAGAAAAAGTATTTGTTTGTGCAGTTTGGGTTCATAATACCATGTTCACTGAAACCTCTTTTAAGCATTTTCAGATGATCATCTTTTACATAGAAATTTTAAATATTTTCCCATGCGTACTTTTTGTTCTATTTTTATAGAGCAGAGGGAAAAATAACTTGCTTTAGATATCTTTAGATGTGTTGTGTTGTTTTGTTTTCTTTTGCAGTGATATAATGATGAGAGACAATCTCTTTGAAATTGTAACAGCTTCTCGAACATTTTATGTGCAGGTAATCTTTTTCTCTGGATAAAACCAGATCTTTCTGCAAGAAAATTTAAGTAAGAACATTTTTGCTGATTAAAAACTTGTTTAAATACCCCACAGTTTTCTTGAAAAAACTCCAGTCTTCCCTTTTTAGCATACATTCCTTGTGAAATATGATAGTATATCAGAGCCTACAGTAGTTGTTTTTGTCATGTTTTAATTTAGCCTTTCTTTTCAGTTTTCTTCTAAAATACATGTAAGAAATTTCAGAATGATCGCAAGAATTGAATAACCTTGATGTTTATAAAATTGTGAATTATCAGTTGACATAAATGATCTGAATTCTTTATTAGTTCAATATATTTGACTTTTCATAAATTATATTTCTGTTTAGTCACTTGTGAATTTAAAGTATGAGGACTTTGAGTTGAATGGTCAACAATTTAAATTGGTAGCCTTCATTCATTCACAACAGCCATTGCAGTCTAGCTATAGTAATTCTTAAGGTTAGGACCTATTTCTTTTTTAAAAATGTCTTTGTGTACTCTGTTAGTTTACTTGATGCTTTGATAAAATGTGTTAGTGATTCTTTCTATGTCTTTGAAAATTAATAGTACAGGTCAGTCGCATCGTACGCACATTTAACTTACGCAAATTCAACTATACGCGACGTGGGAGGGGGCGGGGCTTGAGTTTGCACGTGGCGCTGCCGCTTACCTGGAGGCTCATTATGGCGGTGACAGCCACTGCTTCCAAAACCTCCCGCTGTTGCCATGGAGCTGTGCCCGGAGCTGTGTAGCCGGCCGCCGGGCAGTGGCAGCGGCAGTGTGGTGGTGGCTGGGCGGCACGCAGCCATCCCCACCACCACCCCGCACTGCGCCGCTGCCACCGGCTGCACCGCCCTTAGACTGGCGCTGTGCAAACTCAAGCCCCACCCCCCTCCCACCCCGCGTATAGTCACCGATTTTTGCCTAACGCGCTGACTTCAGAACCTAACCCCCACGTAAGATGCGACTCCACTGTATATACATATACAAGTACATGCTGAAAATACTCTCACATTCTTACCATGATGATTTTGAAAATTATGGATATTTTACTTATTTTTTAACCTAACAAAATGTACCAAAATTCTTTTTCTGTGTAAGTGTGAGAGTTAAAATCTGCAAGGTAGCTTGAATGAAGAGATATTGGCTAGAATATTCTGGTCTATGGATCTATCCAGATGAGGAATTTAAATTTGAGATAGAAGGGGGTATGGAGTGGGAGGGGGAAGTAAAATCAGAGTTATACATTTCCCCCCAGACTCATTATATGTCAAAATGATTGAGAGTTTACACTATTGGGATGATCCCTGGCAATTTCTTAGTGTAAAAAAAAAAAGCCCAATTAAAGCATTTTGGTGGCTGCTCTGATTCTTTTTGACAAATATGATTTCCTTATCTAAAGTCATCTAATTGAGAGTCATTCTGGGTTGCCTGCCCACTTAATTTGGAATCGTACCTAATTAATGTTATATTGATGTTAATTACTAATGAAACTCATTGTACACCTGATTTGTTTTTTAAGATAGTAGGTTTAAATAATCATTTCATGGGATGATAACATACTGGAGCTTTTTAAAGCACATCATGAGTTCATTAGCACACTTATAAAGAAGGTATACCAAATTATCATCCTAATGTAGAAAATACTCATTTGAAAGGAAGTTTTGATAAATGGTGATGTGATACATGCCAGATATATGCCATTTGATGGAGGTCAGTTGAGGAGTGGAAGTGTTAAGATTTGGAAAAAGCCCCCCAAAAAACAAGTAAACAAACTTTCAACCATTAATGCATAACAAATAAAATATAAAGATCATACTCAAAGCATTTAAGAGTGGAAATGTACATACAGTTTTTATTAAACTCTCCCCCTGTACCCCAAACCCTCCTAATTGGGAGTCTAACAGAGGATCTGCTAAAAGGAATGGTCTCTGCTGGATGAGCTGCACCCTTCTATATAAACTGCTGCTGGCAGCAGATAACTGCTTTGAGAACCTGTTGGTACAGATTGATAAAACTGTTCATTTCTGTTCTCTCAGAAACACCAACTAATTTCTGTGCCTAAAAGCAAGTGATAGAAAGCAGAAGCACAGAAACAAGAAAAAGTATTGTATTTGTGTTACCCCAATAACGTGAAGCAGTGGAGTTTGAAAAACAATGATTTGTCCTATTGTGAACAACTGGTTAACGATATAGTTCTTATTATAAACAATTCTTCTTGTGTCCCATCTTTTAATTTGTGGTTGTTGAATTAGATTCAGGCAATATGCATGCAGAAAAAATTACATAATTCTAAAGGAAAGAAAACAGTATAGTTCAGCTTCATGAATTCAAAATGTCACTGACTTCAAAATAAACGGGTTTGAAATAAATGTGTGCGCGCTGATTTGCACATTGGTGTCCACAAACTTAGTTCACCCACAATCAATGCTTTTTATTTTTTTGCAAAATGCTGGCAGTTTCAGCACAGGTACATTGCTAATTATTATTATCATTATACATCCGGGTGAACAACGTTTCAATCCATGATGATCCCTCAGCCCAGCACTACTCAGTTTGTGTGTACTTCAAATGTCCCCTCTCCCCCTCCCAAAAGACTTGCATGCTAATTAGCTCTCCACTGATGACTGGAATGGGGTGTTCTTGTCACGAGTCCTGGGACCCTCCATAAATGTATATGCAGATGAGTCATGGGGCTGCCTGGTCCATCTCCACCCCAGGGATGGCAGGGCTACATAGATCACATGTGATGGGCCAAGTGCAGATGCAACAGAGATTCTTATTTTCATAGACATTTGGGGATGTTTGCCAGACATTTAAGGCTGGTGAGGAAACATTGGAAATGGGAAAGAAAGGCACTGCTCAGCTGTGGGAATGAAGAGGAAGATTAAATGTATTTGACATAGTGGTTCACTATGACTTGAATAAAAAAATTGGTGCTGAGGAGGACTGAATGCAATGGCTACTCTCTCTGATTCAAGTGGGCTGTACTAACCCAGACTTGTGGTAGGTTCCACCAGCATCTTTGCCCTATGTGGGTGTTAGCTTTGTACCTGGTGTTTTGTGGGCATCTTCAGTGCAGCCTGCATTCAGTCAACTTCATAGCTGGTTTCTGTGACTGACCACATGCTGCAGCAGTTTAATGATAGATAACATATTTTCCTGGTCCAAGGGACCAGAAAACAGTTTCAGATTTCAAAGTAGCTGCATTTTGAATTATCCAAATTGTAAAGCCTGCAAAAATCTGTTTTTTTTCAGCTGGCGAGTGACAATAGTTTAGAAGAATCTGATACTTTGAACTATCTGACGTTGAGCTAATGAGACTACTGTAGTCGGGTTTTGGTGTTAAAAATGTATTTTAGATAAACTACCAAAAATATCAAATGTCTACATTTTCTTTGCAGTTTCACAACAGAAAAAGTGGCTCAGTTATTTTATGATGATGAAGAATACATTTCCTCTTATTTTTTGTATACCAGTTAGTATTTTCCACCTAATAATTTTCAAGTTGACTCTATCTTTGATTAATATGCAATAGGTTATGACCAGGGTTCCACTGTTCTTCTCTGAAACAACCTGTATATGCACTGAAAACCTGTTTCTGGATCTTTTACATGAATATTATGTACTATCGTTACCAGTAGTAACCGGTTAGTGTAAGATTCCTGCATACCCTTCTATTCATCCCTACTTCCCTTGGGCTGAAAGTCTGAGCTTATTTAAAACTCACTGGGGCCGGGAAGTCTTATATGTGATGTTTGTGGGTACTTCCATCATAATCAACATTGTCTCAGGGAGGAATGGAGTACTATTTGTCTGATCATCTCTGATGGTTGTGAAATTAGTCTGATATCAGCATGAGTTTAGAAGAGTTTACTGAGAGAGAAGGGAAAAATGCTTGTTTCCCTGACCTTTGTTGATATCCATTTCACTGACCACTTTGCAACCCCAGAAGCATTGGGAGGAGGTATAATTTGCATTAGCGAGGAAAAAGGATAGTGTTGTCTTTAACAATATCCTTCCTTCTCAGCATTTTTGGGGGAGGATACTTGGAAAGGGGCATCATCTGAATTGATCTGGTGGTCTGGCCAGTGCAGTTCAGGTAGCCCCAGGAGAGGATTCAGAAGCTCCCTCCCTTCTAGCCTGAATCCTCTCATTTGTAGTAGCAACTCCCTCTGCCCCTTTGGGATTGGGCTAGTTGTCTTTTGGGCCTGCAGAGGAATATTTCTCTTGCTGCTAGTTTGGCTGAGGAGAGGTGATTTGTATCAGGGTAATAGGTGGGAAGTATCAAATCCCAATACTCTTTCCATGGGAATTCAGTTTGGTGACAAAGTGGAAGCTGAAAAAAGATGGGGAAGGGACCAAAGTACTGTGGGATACTGGCGGACCCTGGGGTCCCCTGTTGTACTTTGTAAATCTTGTGTATATATAGGAAGCACTTCATTGTTGAAGCACTTATAAAGTTTATGTTTCTTTTGGGGTTATTTTCAGAGTGTGCCAGCTGTTTTTGGAGGACTTCAAAGAATGTGTGTCTATCTTGCAAGGCGTTTGAAGTGCTTCATCTATAGCTAATTTGTTTTATTCTCAATTGCAAGCATTTTCACCAAGTTTAAACAGCTCTATGATATGAAGGGCTAACAGTTTTGATTTGTCTTTGAATTTAGGCAGACAGTCCAGAGGATATGCACAGCTGGATAAAAGCAATATCTGGTGCCATAGTAGCACAGCGGGGACCTGGAAGATCAGCAGCTTCTGTATGTTTTTATGAGCCTTAGATAACGCTCCTTTTAGGTGGTGGTCAGTCTTGTACCTGAAGTTCTATTGTTTTCTTTTCATCTACCTCCCCCAGTTTTATAGTAACATATCTGCATGAACTTTGCTAGAAATTGGATTTACATAAACATTTTCATTTCTAATTGAATTACTTACCTTAGTGTAGTTTGTATGTAGCTTTGTGTGCACTGTATTGTCTTAAACAGGTAGATGGTACAAGTGCCATATATAAAGACTCTCCTGTCAATTCAGTATGAGCTCTTTTCACTAAACTTACTAGTTTTAGGACTTAAGTAGAATCTTTCTAATTCATGTGATACTTTTAATTATTAATTTTTGCAATCCGATGCCAATATATTGATTTTTTTCAAATATTTTGACCTAAGCTTCCACATCTTCAGGATCAGCCATGGCCATTTGTCATGTTAGTAGATAGGCATCTCAATTTTAATGTAGATGATTCTGGAATTGCGAACTCATGCGAATGAATAGTTTGGCTGTGGGAGGCCTAATGTGAACACCATCTATTATTACTGAACTGAGTCTCTGCAACCGACGTAAATCTTGGTGTTTGTGGAGCCTATGCTTGACAGTGTTCATAAATCTAATTCTAAATTCAACACTATTCAGTATTTTCACATATTTATTATAATTTATGCTGACAATTAGATAGTGTCACTTAAGTCCAGATTTATCATGGGATGCTTTACATTTCAGATGCTGTAAGATATGGCTTTCATCTTTTGGCTCTGGAAAATTTTGTAATAAGATGAATATATTGCTCCCATACATAATACACTGGAAATCAAGGAACTGAAATCTGGCTATTAAAAATGCTGTTATATAGATGATGTGCTAATACAATTTGCTGGTGATTGACTTATACATTTTTTCCCTGGCTAGTAATTTAATAGCTCTTTCCTTTTTACATATATAAAAAAACCCTGCCACCTTTTAAAATATACTCAGTTATAAAAATGTTTTCTGGGGGAGATGAATGTATAGAAAAGAGTCATCTTATCTTGTCTGTGTATGCTTTGTGGTGGGGCTAACTGAGCGATCTTGCAATGACTTTTGGCAACACATTCTCTTTTTTCCCCTCTTTCCCCAAGTGTAGGTTACTCTAATCTTAGCTTTGCACTGTGTTCCAGATGCGGCAGGCCAGAAGGCTGTCGAATCCTTGTATACAGAGGTATACATCAAGAACTGGTGAATGCAGCACGTATGTGGGCTCTCATGTAAACTTGCCTTCTTAAGAGAGGGCTAGAATTTAAAGCACTAATTTGCACTATGTAAAACTAAGAGTTAATCTCACTGCCTTTTGCAGTTCCATCATTACCATTATTAAAAACTAACTCTCTACTTCACGCCACATATTAGATTTGCACTTACTTCCTCTTTACTTAAAAAATCAAATTGACTTGGAAATGTCAGACTTGTGCTTGCACTCAAGACTGTTGCTTCCTCAGTTTTAAAATATAAATTTTACATAGATGAAATTTAAATAAAACAGTGTAAAAAGGAAAATATTAAAATGTGATTTGAATTTGCATGAGAGTTCATATTTCCATTTTACTGTACATCTTTCCAAACCTTGCAAAAGCAACATTAAAAGTAACAGCTACCCTGAAATAATGCTCAGATACGTGCGTGCACACATGCACACTATAACTACAATAATATTGGGAAGGATAATATTGTAGCCTGATTTGCATGGCTTTTAAGATCAAATGCATGAAATGGTTAGTGAAATTGTAGACGAGTTAACTTGCAATCAGTATCCTATTCAAAGCTATATACACTATAAATAGTAAAAGAGCATAATGTGTTAACTATGAACTTATAGCCAGTTTCGGGTAGCAGAATCTGATCATTTTTAGATGTGATTTAGTAAATATCTTATTAAAAATTTTGATGCACTTATTCACTGTTTTGACCACAGAGGTTTATTTTAAATTCAGGTTTTTAGTTTCTTTCACTAAAATTATTAATGAAAATAGATAGTAATACTAAATAAACCACTGAGCCACACAGCAAAGCTGCTTTCTCATTTAAAGAAGGAAAAGTGGTGTGGCAAGCCAACTATTAAACATAAAAAGCCTACAAAATTATTCCTTGAATTGCTGCCAAAAACAAAATGGAAGGCTGAGCAAGATGAAATTATTAATACAGATGGTAATAACTGTTGTATGCACAAAAGCACAATAGCTTTTAAAGTACAAGTATTTACTACTGCTCTAATGTATCGGCAATATTGATGATTTGGAAACATGAACTTGCAAAAGTGTACCTAGAAATTTAAAATGTCAATACCTCAGTTTACATTGTACAGTTGATATGAAAATATTTTTATGCTTCATATAGGATGTTTGCCTCTTTGACAGACATCGTATAGTGGTGTCTGGAAGTAAATATCTTAAAATGGTATGATGCATCATAGTCAAAGTATTTACAAGCATAGTTTGGTTACCTTTTGGCTACAAGTTATTAAAGATGATATATTATCTCGTTACCTTCGAACGACAATTTTGGAAACAGTCAGCAGAATGGAAGTACAAATAATAAACCCTTATTTGAAAATGCCTTGCCTGTCAGTTTTCAGAGGGAATTGCATACTTAATTTCTTTAAATATTGCTATTACATTTTTCTAAAAAGAATAATTTAGGCTGTATATCTAGATTCTAAAACATTTATTTTTTAAGAATTTTTTCCAGATTTCAGCAAGTAACTTGCCAAAAGAGGCTTCATTAGCTTTTAACAGTAGTGGGTTATTCAGAATATTTTGCTTTATGGTTAAGAGCATACAATGGAGCAAAAAGAGGAAAAAGATCAGTAGCTAGTGAGCAGAACTGTAACCTGCTTTAACTTGACTCAGCAGGGTATTCTCAGTACGAGCAGTGGATGAGTGTTCCATGCTGTTTTAGCATTTTGAATGGAAACACACATTTTCATGAAAACATGTTTGAATACATTTTCCTCTTGCAATTAATTTTTCCATCTTAAGACACCATTTCCAATAAATATTGAAGCTCACATCTTCAGCCAGTTTGTCATTTAAATATGTTAGCAAAACCAATCTGATTGCTTTTCTATATTCTTGTTACAAAATGTAAAGAGGTACCAAACTTGACTTCAGAAATTAAACTTGGTTTCTTCTCTTAAAATGGAGGTTTGCTATCACATACGGCTGTAAGCTCACATTTAAAAGTGCGTTGCCTTTGGAAAGCACCTGCCTCCTGCTGCTATGGCTGATGCTTTGCTTCATGGGGGTTTTTTTCCCTTTGTTTTCAGAGAGCAAAGTCTGAAGTTGTTACTAATGCATTAATGACTCTGACAAACACTCCTCCTTTACAGGAGCATCCCGACTCTTCTTCAGAATACGGCTGCGCTGTCTGTTCTGCCAACACCACAGCAGCCGCCTCACATTCCACAGCCTCTCGCAACAACAGTCTGGTCTCCAACCTTAACTCCAAACACTCTGTCTTGGAGAAGCGAGGATTTCACGAATCTTTTACCAAGACCAAGCCAGGGAACTACAAGGTCCAGACTGTCCCTACAAGAGAATCAGCTTCCAGAGTGACTGTGCAGGGCCTATTAGAACCTCAAAGTAAAAATGGCACTCAGGAACAGGATCCTGGCCCAGTGGATCTGGATGATGCAAACCTTCCAGTCAGTGATGTGTAATAATGGAAGTGTTTGGAGAATGATCCATTTGCTTGGTCCTTATAATTCCCTTGCTCAGACTTTTAGCCAAAGAAGATTATAAGAAGAAAGAACAAAGAGAATGGAACACTGATTGTTTTGCATATGTGTGTGTGTGGACACTCACACACGTATAATTATATATATGTTTAAATGATTATATACTGCCTTTTAAATGAGGGTTAGAAATGGACCTTTATGCTTCTTCTCAAAGCCTGATGGTTTATCACTTACTAGGGAGGGGCCAAAAATACGTGATTCAAAAATGTACTGCTGCCAGTAAACCAGGTACCAGCACTCTTCCTCCTCAAATTGGCAAACCCAAAACTGCATTAAATATTTTAATGCTATGCTGTGGAAAATGTATTGCCAACAAATATGATTATTTAACTTTGTTATAAACTAGATTAAGATTTCAGACATATGTGAGAATTGTTGCTCTGCTGTTTTGAAAAGGTTGTGGTCTGACTTTTTCAGATTTTGGCGTAAGTTCAAAAAAGTTTTTGTTCTTACAAGATCAGCAGTATCTATAGAAATATTATCAAACTAAGAATTCTGAACTCCCTTAGAATTCCAAATATATGGTGCTGTAAAATTTGCATTAGAATACTATTTTGAATAGTAAGCCTATTTTTGATGCACTCCTAAAGGTGGGTTGCTATTTTTTGCACATTTGGATTTTAATGGACCACCTGAAATGGTATTTTGGAGGGGGAGAAGGGAAATCAGACTATTGCATCTTAGACCTTTGAATTAAACAGGTTTTATATTGTATTACATTAGACTCTGCAGCAGTTATTTTATTAAATGTCTAAAGTTATTGTTTAAGATTTACTTATTTGAGATTTGGTTTTCTTATTAGTGATCTGTGAACAGTTCTTGTTTCTGTATTTCAATTGGTGGAAGACCTTCTTATTTAGTTTGTCATAACTGGTACTGAACTGTTCATAGTCATGCAATTGTGGCCTGTAACTTTTGGTGCACTAATAATCTAAAGTGCCTGTGGTTTTTTTGTTTGTTTGTTTGTTTTCTCTTCATTGTTAAATGTTTGAGGTTAGGTGTATACACAGACCTTACTCTAATGATTTTGAACCTTGGGTTGAAATTCTTTTGAGTAGCATAGTTCAAAACAACTATTTAAAATAGAAATTCTCATGCTAGGGATACCAGCATATTGGTGTTGCATCTACTAGCTGTGCAATATGTGTTTTTTTTAAAAACTGAATATTTGTTATACATGACTGTGTTATGGGGCTTCAGTGAAACAAGTGAAAAATCTCAGAAGCTTTACATTTCAAATATTTGAGTAGATTAAACATGTATTATTCCATAGTTAAGTTTTGAAAATGTTTGCTTCGACCAAAAACCCTACATATTTCTCATGATGCTGCTTATTGTGATTCAGATTTTCTAGTTTTTCCATACTGTTTGTCTTCTGGAACTTAAGTTACATATCACAAAGTCACAACCATCTCTCCAGCTTCCAAACTGACTTCTTAACTGAAAGACTCAGATGGCTTTATTATATGAACCTACTGATTTGAGAGTAGAGAAGTTGATTTAATGCAAGAATCAGCTATGAGTGAGTTTGAAAACCATTAATTAAATATGCACCTTCAGTTTTTTATCCATAAGCTAAATGCTGTTTTGAGACGATGGTATTTGTAAATTACACTTTTCATTTGTGTCTCTAAGTATATGTGAAAACTAGTACAGAATTGAAATTTATTGTACAAGTCTCGACTCGTATTATAGATTTTATCTTGTATCAAAATAAGACAATGGCTCTTTTTAAAAGCTTATTTTTGACAAGTTGAACTGTGTGGAAGACACTTTGCATTGAAATATTTTTACTGTAATTCTAACATCTAAAATCATTTGCTCTGGTACAGCTTTCACACTGCATGTTCATTTTACTATATTTTAGTATTGGAAATCTTACATATGGGGTGGAGGTAAAACAGCTCCATGATGGAACTATAGAAAACATAGAGCTACCTTTGTAGTTCAGTAGCATAGGAAAATATTTGTTGTTGGTAATTGTCAGGGTCTCCTATTTATCAGTGCTTTTATAAATCTATGGAATTGTTAAATTATTTTAGAACCAGTGCTGTTTCCTGTAAATATGTCACATTTAAATTGTCAATAAATCGGTTTAATTGTCAATAAATTGGATATCTTAATGTTGCTGACTTTTTGTTTTGTACCACGTTCTCTTTCAGAGCAGCATAAATTTCAGCGTAATGAGTAAAAATGATTTCTTTGGAATGGTATATTGATTGCATCGTTTGCTTAATTCTTCCATGTTGAACACAATAATAACTGCACAATAATATTCTTCTTTATTTTAGCAATTTGGGTCTTCACTGCCAACTTCCGTTATGGAACATGAATGCCTTTTGCAGGAAGAGAGCAGAAATCTTTTCATTTATCTAGCTTTTCTAGGTCAGTCAGTTCTGCTAGCTTTAAAAAAGTTTGAAACAGCCTGTACTTCAACCATAGCACAATAAGCACACTGTCTCTGAAATGATTGGTTCGAAAAAGAGTGCGTTTGTATGTGTGTGTTTGACTAAATTATATGCAAGTGCTTTACAAACTGTAGATGAAAATGTGATTCCTGTTACTAAAATATAGCCATTTCTCTTGTTGAAAGTGGCAATACCACATGAGAGTCAGATAAAGGAATATTCAACTGAAACTATAAAAGGAACTTTCTATATAAAGGAATGTTATATGTAGTGGTAATTATCCAAATTCAAACTTGCCTAGGACATGGATTAAAACCCATGTAAGTATTGACATTGGCTATGGCAGTGGGGATCAACAGTTTTAGCAGGCATGTCACCAATCCACCCCACACCCTCCCCAAGTGCCACTCTGATTCCCTTCCCCCTAACTGATCTGCTTTCTGCTCCTGGCTCAATCTGCCATGTGTCACACACAAAGGCTGCCTGTGCTGCAGGTTGGCCATTCCTAGATTAAGAGATAACATGACCCTCCTTCTCTGGTCGTGTTATCTTCTTGCCTAGGGAAGACTGTAGTATCTAAGCATCTTGGTCTTAGAAGTATTAATCTTCACAATAGTGATCTAAGGAAGTGAGAAGCTACTTTCCCCATGTAGGAGCAGAGAAATTGTCTAACCATGGTCACAGTACAAGTCTGACAGAGTAGGAAATTGAGTTCAGGATCCTAAATCTCAGATGGCCAAATTTTATAAAGGTCGTATAGGATTGTTAATGCTAAAAATCAGCAGTCAAAGTACGTGTCTGGCACCTAGATTAAAACCCCTGTAAATACCAACAATAGCTACAACGTTGGGGGTCAAAACTTTTTGGCAGGTGTGCCACCCAAGTATTGCACCAACTTGTTACTACTTTGACTCAGTACTGCTGACTTACTGTTTTGTCAACCTTTTCCCCAAAGGTCTGCCATCCTCATTATGACCATTATAGCCTGGCCCTGGTTAGTTTGAAATAGGTTGCCAAGCTCAATGTTCAGCTATACTACCTCCATTTATGGTCTCATCTAAACTGAGCAGATACAATCCAGCTCAGTACCTGGCTATATTCCAAGGGAAACCTAAGTGCTGTACTACGGAAATGATTAATGATTTCTTTTTATGGCTATAAATCAAAATTCTTGTTGCCAATTTATGAAAAGTTTAGATGAGGTTCTTTAGGTTTGGAGGACCCAATTCATGTTTCCAAGTAGTAAATGCCAAACAGACCAAGCATCTGTTACCCAAACCAAACCTGAAAATCCTTATCGTAGTTCACACTTTTTACCTAATTACCTCCCCCCCATGTGTGCTCTTAACTCTCAATTCTTATTTTTTTTCCATTCTAATGCCTTTAAAAATGGTCTTGTCCTTTTCCTAACCCTCACCTGTTATGCAAACAATTCAGATATTTTGTCTTACTACCACTGTTTGTGAAGCTAAATGTTTAAATTCGTGCACGTTGATAACACTAATTATAACAAATAAAGACACAAATTATTCTGTTGGTTACACTGGTATAGAAATGGTCAAAACTTCCTTATTGAAATATTGCATGTTTTTAAATTCAAGTACCAAACACTCGGACCAAATGCTTGTACATAACTGAGTGCGCAGTAGTGTGCATATATATTAATTTAAAAATTGGCATATCCTGGTTTTTCAGATATACCTTTTGGGTAGAGAGAGAACCTTAGCTGATTATGTGGAACAGTGAGATGTTAAGTGTATGTGACCACCACCTGGAGGTCACATACACTTAGTGTGAACTTAGAACATTTACTTCTAACTTGGTAAACATTTTCTATAAGAAATGTTTTTTAGCACCTTGCACTAGTGTGAAATCACTATGCATCAAACTTGAGTACCAATAGTCAACTTATTAAAAAAAAAAAAAAGCCTCAGCTCTACCTATGCAAGCAATTTGGTATCTCTGCAGTTACAGTATCATTGAAGGAAAAAATATTAAAGTATGAATTTTGCCTGAAAAGATTACTGGTTGTGGAAGGCAGTTGCAAAAAGGCAGCAATCAGAATAGAGGGTATGTTTAAAACAAACAAAAAACCTCTTTTAACTGTCAGCATTTCTATTGGAGAACTGACCCTTTCCAGTCTTTAAAAAAACTTTCTCTCCAAAGTAATGTTATTTTCTCTCGCTTTTAAAAAATCATGTTACTGCAGCCAAAACCAGCAATCAAACAGCTGTTTTTTCTCTGTTGTAAACTGGTGCAAGAGCAAGATATTTCAAATACTTGAAAAGTAATTCAACCTATGCAAAGACATAGTTATATCTGTGCCGAAGACCAAGCTACAATGTGTGTGATGTTATATGACCAGAAGAATATGCTGCATGCATGTGCGGGGAGAAAAAAATTATAGAGTAAAACAAATATTTAATACAGTTCTATTTTTTTCCACTGTTGTTAGCATAGCAATGTAGTAATCTAGCTTGGCTGAAGTAGTATAAGCTTTCCTCTGTGGTTCAAATATTTTTCTATTTCAGATAAAATTCTTTCAATTTCCATGTTTATAACTACATTCAAATACTGTGCATTGGTGAAAAGATACAGCTATATTAAAGCTTTGTGTGCATTATTTTTCATATCGAGTAAAGATTTATGTATGTCTCTTGATTTAACATAACTTTTATTTCACACTTTATGCAGAGGGAAGCAGATTGCTTTTTGCTGTTAAATCAGAACATATTACTAGTTTTAAATCTAATAAGTAATGCTATTGGAGCTAGTTCTGGTTCTATTCAGGTTTGTCTAGACTTAGAGGGGCTTTTATTATTTTTTATTGCAGCTAATTTTCTCTCTAAGTAAAGTTAAAAATGCTAGTCTAGATATACTTAGAATATTGCTGGGGATGTTGATTATTCAGAGCAATAGAAGTGGTCAACAGGTTTATTGCAATGAGGCATCTAAGCTCCGACAACCAAATTACTGACCTCAAAAACAAACAAAAATCTCTTTGACTATTACAGCAGGGAAAATAATGGGAGAGAGAGATAGCAGCAGCCTTAAGAGGTGGCTTGTGCAGAGGCAAACAGGGTAGGGATATGAAAGAGAAATCATTAGTTTTAAACTTCCCCTTAACTTCTTAAGTGAAAGGCAAGCTGTCTTTTCAGCAGCAATACTGGTATGACTCTTTAGATATGTTTAACTCTTTCATAGTTGTAAAATATGAAGTAAAGTATGTTCAATATTTAACCTGCCATTTTACAGAAGCGAGTTGAAAGTCTGCTGCTCTGAAGGCAGCTGGAAATTTTTGTAAGTCAAGAGAAAATGTTAATGTTCAAAATCTCATGAAAATGTTGATTTTTTTTTTTTTTAATCTTTTCTGAAAGATCTCTTCTAAATATAGTGAAAGGAGGTATTTGAGAGTGCCTACTGCCAGAGAGATTTGCTCCTGTGAACCTTAAGGGATGTGGGACAGGATGTACAGGTGGTATTTAGCTAAATATCACTAAATGTTGTAAGTTTGGGGTGTAGGTTTTTTTAGAAAAACTCTTTAGGAAGATATTTGTTAAGTATCTCAAATCGAAAAATGAGACTTAGAAATTGTGGTAAAATACCTGGTCTCCCTTGTGGTATGAACCTCAGGCTTTCATGCTTTAACACTTATCTGTATATTAGAATGCTATCTATGTACAAACATCTAAGCCATTAAGCCAAAGAAGGAAGCACTGAAACATGGGTTGCTTTCAATATCTTAATAGTCTTATCAAATTTAAAAGCTAATTAACTGCTTTTAAGTCAAACATAAGTTCCACTGCTTTGTCAGATCAGGGCCCTAAATGCTTACCTCAGCTTCTTGCTTTAGACTGCTTTTCTGTATTGATGGAAACTTTTATTGATTGCTGAAATCATTGTGTAATTGTATGGCACCAGCATAATTTATCTGTTTTTCTGTAGGCAGTAGTCAGATCTCTACAGTTACGGTTTGCACTTAATTTTTCATACGTAGCAGCAACATCATAGCATGCTTTTCTAGAGTTTAAGTAAAAACATTCACTAAATTTGGTAAGTGCCCTATTCAGCAGAACTTTTTTTTGTAGCTAATGTAAGTTTCCTAGGTGTGACCCTGAATCTGGTACATGTTTATGGGGATCTATGTGAACTAAACATATACTTTTCATATACTTTTCTTTATTTTGTTAGTGAAAATAAACTCTTTACATTCCAGCAAAGTAGAAATGGGTAGTGATGTGAGGATGCACATACTAGGGCATAGCAGTATTGTATGGAAATATATTTTTGAATGGGCATGAGCATAAATATATTTTCTTGTGTTTGGATAAATAGTTTGCTGTGACTGAAAAGCCTTGTTAGACTCAAGTTCCTTTTCTCACTCAAGCGGGATATAGTCCTTAAAGAATACATAGGTTTTTAGAGAGAGAACTGTTTCATTAAAGACCAACTGTGAATTGAGTATAAATATATGCACATTGAAATGCAAACCTATTTGAAATTTTAGGATTTTAATCCTTAAAAATGAATATGAGGAGTTTCTGCCAAATATTTGGAAAGCCAACCAAGCATTCATAAAAGTTTTCTGTTGTTCTGTCCAGTTAGTATGAATATTTTTTAAAACAACTGGAATTCAAGTAAACAAAGGCTTTAAACTACTCAAAGTATCGATGAAATCATTTTTTGGGGAAGAAAATCTTTATAAAACAACAGATGGAAAGTGT